TGTTGGGCTGTAATGAATTGTAGATAAATATGTTCACACTGAATTGCTTTTTTTAATGTTACTATTAAAAGAATTCTCAAGTCAGAAAGACTTGTAGATAAGGACATACATAATATCCCTGACCCCCAATTTCTGTCCTTTATTTTCGCAATTTTGTATATTTTATATAAGACTATATATACAATGTGTGTGCACATTTTGGACAAAATAGTTTGAATTATTTGGGCAGGAAGTTCCAAAAGATAGCTCCATTTACTTGTTCTTGCGGAGAAGAAAATAATTTCAATCTACAAGCTTTAATTTCATTGATTTTTCAAAAGTATGAGCTAGTTTGACTGTCAGTTTCCATTGAGTCATTAATATGACCATCAACCAAACACAAAAAGCTATGGAACGCCGTCACTGCCTTATGTGGAGAACTTTCATTATATGCTTGTACTTTGTCATTATATGATGGTATTTTGTCATTATATGATGATATTTTGTCATTATATGATGGTGCTTTGTCATTATATGATGGTATATTGTCATTATATGATGGTATTTTGTCATTATATGATGGTATTTTGTCATTATATGATGATATTTTGTTATTATATGATGGTATTTTGTCATTATATGCTGGTACTTTGTCATTATATGATGGTATATTGTCATTATATGATGGTATATTGTCATTATATGATGGTCCCGGATTTAGGATTTTTAGCGATTTCCTTTTATTGTTGCACAGAATTCATTCAAATTTTTCATAACATTTTTAGGTTTAAATGAATTCATTAATGCATGAAAACTTTAGGAGACATGCGTTTTTATTACTGAATCAGCAGTATGACTATCACCTGCCAAAAAGCTGCAAATCTAGTACTCTGTTATAAATGTTTAAACCCAAAATGGACACCGATGTTTTCGTAAAATCTCGATTAAAATGATATTTTTTAAAAAAATAAAAGGAAAACCTCATTTACATACTATAGATAATTTGTACGCACAAAAACTTTTATATATATTTTGTTTATTTAATTTAAAGTTATGCTCATTAATTATCGATACATAGCGATGAGCGGAGACGTGAGGTTTCGTAGATCATTATATTGATATTTTTTGGGAAGATAATTGGCGGTATTAAAAAATATGAACATATTAATTTTCATTAAATCCATTACATGAAAATGACCTTTAAAGTCTGTTGCCTTAAGAATTTCAATCATATAATTTTTTATCATGTCAATGGAGACGATAATCACTTATCATTAAAAGCTTTATTGAAGCAGTGTTAGATTAATTTCCTAATCACCTGATACAGTGAGAGTGAAGAGTGAAGAGATACTCTGTCAGTCTGTCAAATAAAAAAAATAATTCTGTATGGCAAACTGCTGCTAAATCGAAGCTATTGACAAAAAAGCTATTTGTGCTTTTACAGTAATTAAGTTACAAAAGTACAATCACCTTAAAAAATAAAAAGGGGGGCTCCGAGGTAGAATCATGTAAACGTCGTAGAGCCCGGCTGTGAACATGATGTGACAAAGAGTTCTATTAGTACATGTATACAAGTAAAAGAAAGAAAATATGTGGGTGTTTTTGTGCATACAAATTATCTGGCATGTAATTGAGGTTTTCCTTTATTTTATTATTTTTTTTTTTTATTTTACATCATTTTCAAATTTGTTGTTTTTAATTGCGATTCGGTTTCCGTTTTTGGTTTTGAAATTTATAACAGAGTTCTAGATTTACCGCTTTCTGGCAGTTGATACATCTGGTTCAGTAATAAAGACACAAATTTGTTAAAGTTTTTATGTACGAATGAATTCATTTAAACCTCCAAAATGTGCTTGAAAAGTTTGAATAGTTTCTGAGCACCTTGAAAAAGAGAAATCGTCAAAAATCAAAATTAAATCCGGGATCGTCGGAAGTCGGGAAGACAAGATTTACCGCTTGCCCCTATAACGCCACAGGTGTTTGAACTTCTCTCGGGCTTGCATTTGATCATTTCTCTGAGACTAATTCGATCGCCACTAGTAGTAAATCCAGAACTGCTCAATTATTCGTCGCTCTGGCAAGCAAAAAATATTATCAACATCTATTATCTTTTCTACAAATCTATCGATCACCTGCGGACCCATAATGTTGAAGTATCATCATATAATGACAAAGTAGTAGCATTATAATGACAAGTAGTAGCATATAATGACAAAGTAGTAGCATATAATGAAAAGTAGTAGCATATTATGACAAAGTAGTAGCTTATAATGAAAAGTAGTAGCATATAATGACAAAGTACCATCATATAATGACAAAGTACCATCATATAATGACAAAATACCATCATATAATGACAAAGTACTATCATATAATGACAAAATACCATCATATAATGACAAAGTACCATCATATAGTGACAAAGTACCATCATATGATGACAAAATACCATCATATGATGACAAAATACCATCATATAATGAAAGTTCTCCACATAAGGCAGTGACGGCGTTCCATAAAAAGCATTTTGTAGAGGTACATATCGGCATATTGTTTTTAAAGAACTTAAGGGGGGAGACTATAGTTTTATTGTGTGAAAACTACAATAGCGAAACTCTTCATTTTTATTTATACCATACATAACTTACATTAACTTCAGTGTACATGCGAATTCTGGGGGAAATCTACCGTCTAGGTATTTTTGAGGGAATGTCTCAAAATACAGGTACATTTACTATAGGATTATACAATGTATATGAAATTGCCAATTTTTAGCACTTTAAAGCAAATTATACCAATACTACAATAGACATTTTGTTCAAACTATAATATTTGATGAGTAATACTATATTATACAATATATGTAAGAAACACAAAATTCTATCGTCTTGTTACCAGAGGGGTCATCTAAAAATGCAAAAAATTAGCAAATTTTACTATTTTATAGAGTATTACAAAATATGACGTACACAATGAATTCACATGAAAACATAATAAAGATATTTGAGATATTTTATAATTTCTATGTTTTAAATTTCAAGAGCGTATGTTTATTACTTTTTCTTTAATAATATATTTATTTCCCCTTTCTTTAAGAGCTACAGATTATCATAACGTCAAAAACACACTGCAAGACATCAACCTATCTATCAATTGCAAAATCGTTAAAAAAAATCAGTTATATCAAATTGTAATCACATTCTTATACCTATAATTTCTTAATTTTGTTTAATTTTGATAATTAAGCGAAAAAAGTTGCATTAAAACAGTAAATACGCTTCATTTTATGATGATGCGCAATGGAAACTATAGTCGGCCCCCTTAAACTAAAAAACTACATATATATGTTCACTTCAGCCTTGAAAAACCGTTTTATTTTCAATTCAGTACTTTTTATATAAAAAAAAACAACAACAAAAAATATTTTGGAAAAAAACATACTTTTTTATGTTACTGGTTTATAAAAGACGTTAAACGTTAATGCGTTAATGATTATATCTTCTTGACCAAAAACACCTTGTGATAAACATGATGACTTCAACTTTTCGGTACTCAATTTCTTTTACTTCTTAATCAATGAATTTTAAACCTTATCTCCTGCCTATTAAGTTTACGTCTTCAGCTTATTCGATACTCGATACACATGAGCATAAGAACAATTGTTGGTTGATGAAACAATTATATTAACAACCATATTAAAAGTCAACATTTACATGTAGATAGTTCTGAGCTCAATAAAATGACCTTGATATCTAATACAATCCATTATTAAGTCGAAAGCTATTTAACGTCTAAAAACTTATTGTAAGACCATTATTTACAACTGAATTGTCTACCGGTTTTTTCTGTTTTCGTGTTCATGACAAGGATCATACGACGGCTGATCTTTTCTCCTCCATTTCACATTATTTTTAAGAGGCCCGCTCTTATTATAATTATTTAAATGGACTTTTGAACTTGATAACTGTGCATTTTCTACGTTTTCCATTTAACCATTAATACATTTTGACTAAATTTGTCTTTCGTAAGTTTTGTATACCCCGTTATTGAATATTTGAACATTTGGGGGTGTACAGTTTTGCTCTGTTCATCCACCTGTCTGTCTATCTGTTTGTCCACAAAAACTTAAGTATTGTCCATAAATTTTGATGCAGGGATTGAATTAAGCCATGATTCTCACATTTACAAGTGTATTTCTTGTGACAAGAGCTATCTTTGGGTCAAACATATTTGACGTCATGGCATTTACATTGTTTGACGCAATTTCGCAAGAGTTTACCAAAGCTCTAACCTTGGCCATAACGTTTGAACAAATGATTCTAGGACATTCATAATTCACATGTGTATTACTTATGATAAAACCGTTTCATGGAAAAAAAATATATTCTTGACATTTTGAGCATGACATATAAGTTTTACCCACTTTAAAAAAATTAATATCGAGAATAACTTTTAAACAGTTAGTACTATATCATGTGTTCTATAGTTCTACATCATGTGACAAGACCTTCCTTTTGGATACAAACAATTTTAACCTTTTGACTTTGACCTTGAAAATAACTTTGAACAATCAACGTTGCTGCTACAGCTGTAAGGCTTTCATATTTTACAGGTATATTCATTGAGAACAAGTCCTTTCTTTGGGTAACAATATTTTTATAACTTGACTTGGAGTTTGACCTCTTTTCCAAAAACTGTCATACGGGGGTATCTGTGTTTAACAAATACACCTTCTTTTAATACAAAAAGTTAATTTCATAATCTTTCATTATTGCATGAAGGTTTGGATATTGAAGATACAATGTATATGCAATGTCAAACACTTTTTCTTGCGAAATATAAATCTAAGAATGTCTTTGATTGAAATACAAGACAATTCAAATTATAGAATGTAACACATGGTACGCACACAATCCACTGATATTATGTTTATCTTCAAATTATTACTCGATGACTATTCTCTTTGTTACATGTACCTCTATTATTCTTGTCAGAGGTATCAAATACTTTGTTTTAGGTTGCAATGAAACTTTTTATGGAAGAAACTGTGATCAACACTGCTCGATAGAATGTATTGAACAAAGATGTAACATCAAAAATGGAACATGCTTAAGTTGCCCGCGTGGATGGATAGGAAAGGCATGCGAAGAAAGTAAGAAAATCGCGAGTAGCTTTTACTATTTTGTTTTTGAATGTCTTATTGCTTATATTATTTTATGTATATAATAAAAATTGTTTATGCATTTCTTTAAACTGGAAAATAAATATACATTCTTTGTGTTTAAAAGAGTGTCCAAGAGGATGGTATGGGGTTGGTTGTAGACAACAGTGTGTAACCCATTGTATAAATAATGAGGTGTGCAATCATATGACCGGTCGTTGTGACAATGGGTGTGCTGATGGATGGATCGGAATTTATTGTGAAAAATGTAAGTACAATAAACTTGCCGTTTATAATGCACATTATCATCTTTATTTTTATTCAAGGGGGCCGACTGAGATTTCTATTGCACAATGCTTCGCGCATCATAATAAAATGAAACGCATGTACACTTTAAAGCGACTTTTTTCACTTAGCTATACTGTAATAGATTTTCACGAAGATAAAACGTAATTATAGGTTAAATACTTTTAATTACAATTTTATACAACTAAATTTTAACACCGTTTTTCAACCGAAAGCAGATTGACGTATTAATAGTGTGTTGTAACTTTATAATAAACTGAAATTCTAGAAGATTGGGTAATGACAAATGTTACAAAAAGGACGATAAATCATTTGAAATTTTAAACATATATAAAAGTGAGAATCTCACATCGATTTTTAGTATTATTTTTTTGTTAATATTCCTTGTTTTTGTCCCATTTTGTAGTTCTCTATAAAAAGTAAAATTTCGTTAATTTTAAGTTTGAAATGCCCCCTCGAAAAACCAGAGGATTTTTGTCTTACATATAATGTACTATACATTATATCTCATCACACTTAAATTTAAACAAATAATATATTTTAGTATTTTTTAAAAAAATTTCCTCTGAAGAGTGAAAAAATGGCACTTTCCCAAATAATCCCATAGTAAATGTATCTATATTTTGAGATGGTCTCTAGAAAATATCTAGACGGTAGATTTCTCTATACCAGGCATGTGCACTGTAGTGAATGTAAAATACATACTGTATAAAATTAAATTTCTGTATTATAGATTTCATACAAAAATACACCAGTCGGCTTCCTTAAATATCTTAACGTCATAATCGAATGTTGGTTGAATAATGGTTTGTTATAACATATACATGGCGACTGTTAACAGCATGTATATATGGAAGCTATGGCCCTGGTTGTGCATATAACTGCAGTGGTCACTGTCTTAATGATACCTTCTGTAACAAACAAACTGGACACTGTGACGCAGGGTGCGAACCGGGCTATACAGGAAATTTATGTAACAAAGGTAAAGGGAAAAACATTAATTAAAAGAATGTCATTTAAAGGATTATAACAAATATTAATTTTTTTCAAAGATTTTTTTACCTTTCCTAGAATGCATTTCTGGACTTTTTGGACCAAACTGTACGGAACACTGCAGCCAGAACTGTAGGAATGATGAGATCTGTAACCACATAGACGGAGTATGTACAAATGGATGCAAGAATGGATATATTGGAGAGAAATGTAACCAAAGTAAGAAAAAGACTGCTGCAATAAATCTTAGTAATGGTCCTGTATTAGACCCTTTAAGCTGGGTATAGAGCAAGAGGCATCTTATGCATAAAATGGCCCTGTACTTATATAAATTAATTAACTATCACCCTCTTTCCCATTTCATATATCAAAAAAAGTAGACACTTGGTGCTTTCATTTTCTATAATAGGATTTCATTCTGAGAATCCAGATATTGAAAAACAGGTTGGAGAAATTGCAATGTTCTTGAAATTTGCAGAAAACATGTATATTTGACTACCTTCAGCAAAGAATTAAAACATGAGCACAGCCCATGATCCAAAAACTAAAACTTTTTTTTGGATCTTCAGAAATATAGAAATAGAGCTTTCATTATTTATTTGCATTTTTTGGATCAGAGGTTGTGCTCTGTATGAAATATTGAAAAAAATGCTTCAACTTAAGGTCATTTTTAAATGAATTTACAGGATAAGAAAATGACGCATTTTATGACATCATAATATATTGTCTAGATAGGAAATTATGTCACGATTAATAGATACGTGGTCACCAATACTCCAAGTGATAAATTCTGCATTTGCAACCTAAACCGAGCGGTTTTGATTTTTCAGAAATTCGCAGGGCCAAATAAGGCCCAAAGTGGTTCTTGCTCTTCCAGCTTAGTCTTATCCTTTGTCGTTGATCTTTTACTGCAGTTTTTTCCAACTCCTTTTTTCTTTGGTTAATGGCGATAAACCCTAGTTCTCCCCATAATTGTAGCTATTTTTTGGAGCTTCGCATGTTACGATCTGTACTCTCATCTTTTTATTTAAGGCTCCTAAACATTCACTTAATAAAATGTTTGATTCGATTAAGTAATGTTGTGAATTCTGTTAGATATAGATGATCATTTTTACTGGAATATTTGATAATTATTATTCATAATATAATTCATAAAAATTAAAGTCTTTTAAAAAATATCGGTACATGTAATAGAGAACATTTTATTCCAGTTTGCTATAGTTATTTTACATTTTTTATGGCAAAAGGCAAAATGACGGAAGGACAAGCACACATCACCAATCAATTTATATATTTTTCTTTTAGAGTACTTTAATTTTCTTTTTTTCCTTTGAACACTTGATTGAAAAATAATTATCACAATAATATATTTTAGCCTGTGACCATGGATATTTTGGAAATAATTGTTCTGGTGTTTGCTCTCAGAAATGCATCAGTCTATGCGAGCTCAAAGACGGATTTTGTGACTGTGTCCATGGTTGGAAAGGCTCAAATTGCAGTGAAAGTACGTTAAACTCGAGCGCACCGGAGCATAGACACACATAACACACCCTCACACACACTTACCCTATACATATGAATCGTTACTATTTCATAAGAACAATAATACTTTCCTTGTAAAATGATTAGGTCCTTCCGATGGATAATTATAAAACTAGCTGAGGTATACATGTACGTGGATAAAATGTAATGCTATTTTTGCTTTAGTGTATTTTACTCTGAGATTAACGAACGATTCAAGCCAAAATATTTTCAAAATATATTTACATGATCAATATAAATATAGTTACATATCTGTACAGATACTTACAATAACAACATTTTATACTCTCTTTTGATATTAAGAATGTCCTTTTGGAAACTACGGAATAAATTGTGAGGGGAAATGTAGTTTACACTGTGGATTTAACGACTCGTGCGATATATACGAGGGAACTTGTCCACGGGGATGTCAAGAACCCTACACAGGATCAAACTGCTCACAGCTGCCAAGTAATTTAAATTAAAAAAATCATAATTACATTACGTTCTTTTTTCAGAGTAAAAACCTATTATAATATCATTATTTTAAGTATTTTTGTTCCTCTTTTCGTTAATTTTTTTTTATCATTTTTTTTCTGAAATAAAATCTTTTAATATTTGATATAAAACAGTAACCACTATATAATTTTTGATTCCTTCATACATGTAACAGACTAGTTATAGAGACTTTTTTTTTTAAGGTGACCTCCTTCATCCGATATCTACCAGAGATTCCATTCTTCCCATTCCCATGCCCTGGTTTCTAGGAATCACTCTGTCGGGAGTGCTTAATTTGTGTCTTATGCTAGGAATATGTGTTATAAACTGCAGGTATTCTTTCAAAAAATAATTATCTTTTAACGATTCACTTTCTTTTTCTCCGAAAAAATTCTTTGATGATGCAATTATTTATATAATCTGTACAACTTTAAGAGTAAATTGTTTTCACAATCAACTGTCACACATTCCTTTCTTTATAGGGCGTGCTCAAGGAAAAAGTGTAACACTGTTTCTTCTCAGAACACCCAAAGTTCCAGTTATATTAGCAATGAAAGAGGAATCTCTTCGTATGATATACACCACTATCAAGAATTAAGAAATTCCAAAGACGGAATCCATTATCAAGAAATTACTTCAATTTGAACTGTACTACAATTATCATAATATTTTATCGTCTCATCATACTAACTTTTACCTTAAACATGTCACTAAGATATATGAAGAATGTCGGGATATAAAGTGGACAAATTGTTTAGAGTGAACAATATTTAACATATTTATCTTTATACTGATTTTTATCATTCCATTTGTAAACATACATGTATATCAACTAATCAAAAATAATATACTTTTTAAAATTACTTTATCATTTATTTATCAAAATATATGGTTATTTTTATTTATCTATTTAATTCACTGGAAATATATACTCGTATTTAAAGCATAGGTTTCATTATTCTTTCAATTGGTACATTTTAATCATCATGCTTAAAAGTTATTGCACATAGGATGAACAATATCAAAATTCTTTATTTCTTAGACCCGGCATCAGAGATTTCTGGTGTTTGGGTTGGGATCTGTTAAAGACATAGTGGAAATGAATTTATTCCTTGATAAAGTCTGCTTTGGGTATTTTGTGCATGGTAACATTTATGATAACCAAGGATTTAAGGATATTGAATTCCATGATATTAAACACATTAAATCATATCCTTAAAAGCCGCCAAAAATTTGCTGACTTTTTCTTTCATTCAAAATGAAGAAACAATAGATAGTGACTTAATGTACAAGTGATTCAAGGCCATATATTGAATCGCTCTTCTGATAAATTGTACAATCTATCACCTTTATTTAAGGACTTTTAGTATCCTGTGTATTTAAAAAAAGCCTTGGAATTCAGAATGTGGGTCATCATGTCCTAGAATAATCAACTGACAAAGTGTCATGATTCTTAGCCCTTTATTATCTGAAATATAGAGATTCTTGTCTAGCCATAAAATTTGTAATAGTGACCTACTTTTTGTAAATATAGGTCACCATGACTTACTTTTTATTTTACACATTATATACATAGGGAATGAAAAATAATGAATTTCTTATTATAAAACAGCAAAATTGGTTGTTTTTAGATAGTTACAATATTTTTGTTTAATTTGAGGAAGATCGAAACCGTTCTAAGAAGAGAATAAAACATTTTGTAGTAGGTTAAAGACTTAAAAGTTTACATTTTTAATGAACATGTAAATACTATATATAGCATGAAACATATGGAAATAGCGAACAGTTAACTGATTCGTATTCACTAATGCCCATGTCTTTGAATATTTTTTTGAATATGGCCGGTATCCTAATTTGAAAATGAACTAAAAAATTAATATATACATCTTCATATCATAATTTTTTTTTGTTTTACGTCACTCTTAAGAATATTTTTCACTCATGTGGAGACACCACCTCTTATTGGTTGAGAGCTGTAATTGCTGACCGATATTCGAAACCCAGGGCCGATCTTTTTCGTGTCAGCACCTACCGCGACACGGGACCTCATTTTTTACGGTCTCATCCGTAGGACAGGTCTCCAAGTCCCATCCTGGGAATACGAACCCGCGATGTAAGGATCAAATCCTTACTCCGAGTCCCTAGATCAATTGCAACTCAAAATCAAAACTTCTTGTTGGTGTTCCGAGCTTATGCAATTATAAAACAAGGCCTACGTCAGAAAAGTAGAAACATAAATGGCAATATTAAGTAAACTGGTTTGAAGTTTACTACGGCTATTGAAATAAACTCAGGTAAATGTAGGGAAATATCTTAAACGTCCTCCTCCATGATGCCTGCCATTTCCCACCTCCGGACGGACTTAAAGTTAACATTGAAAGGCCTTTGCAGTGAGTTGAGACATAAAAATGATTTATTATAATCAGCATGAAAGACGGAGGAAGTGGATAGAATTTTCCTTGCGTGTTCAAATATAAAAACCTTTGCTGTAAAGATGTTTGTTCTGTTTAACATGACACTCCCTTCTTACGGTGTTATGAACCATTTACATGAAATATATCAGTGCATTGTAAATAAAGTAGTGCAAGTTGTCAACTGTTCGCAGAGTTATGGAAATATATATGATCGTTTAAATCATATCGCATAAACAATGCAATTCCTGTTGTCTTGAATGATGGAGAGTAAGGTCGCTTCCCAAGTATCTTGCTTGAAATTTGAAAAGTATGTCTAGACTCCGCAGTTATATTTCAGTACAACATTTGTCGACCTTGGGGGTTATCCTGCTACATTTCGAAAAGCGGACTTTATTTCTGAAACAAAGAACTAACGGGATAAAAATCTAATCACTTTGCGACATAAAAAATACTAAAATATTTTTTTTTGTACATGAATATGGTTTACATGATATTTCTGGAGTTCCTAAAATAAAAAAAAAATGTCGAGTTTGCGACAAATGTCTAACGTCGTGTAAATAAATCATTTGCACTAAGTAAATGTACTCCCTTTAAATAACTCTGCAAATATTGCCAAAAATGGGCGACCATATGAACTTGCATTAAAATCATAAAGTTTCCGCGTCATTGGCGAAGGCATATCTGTGACATGGATATAAATTATAAAATAGTATTACTTTTTATAGGAATATCCTATATTAATGGATATGGTATGTACCACATCAATAGTATTGGTTTATTTAAAGTTTTTTGTGTTCTATATTAGATAATAATTTGCAGTGACATTGAATTTGTAATTTCAATTTATACTTCCTTCAACTGCGCTCATTTTAAGTATTGAAAAAATTTAAATCCATGCTTGAGCTTATTTTTGTACAGCTATGACTAAATCTAAGAAGATGGGTTATTCAAACTTTTAATTCGCGAGAACTTTATTATTGCGTAATTAAGCGAGACAATGAGCTCGCAAAAATGTACGTATTCTCGCGATTATATGGAAGAAAAACAACAATTCGTAAAAATTGTCTCTCTAATAGAGCCAGTATTTATTTCACGAAAATCAGGATTTCGCGAAAATCTAGTGATGTACAATAACCAGTTGAACATTTACCTTATAGTCAACAGTGCTTCAGAAACGCATTTTTAAAAGCTTAAAAAAGATATATACCTATATATCTACACCTTTCGTGTAATGACTAACCTCTGATGATATACCCTCACCACTCATTTCTTTTTGTTACCATAACAGTTAATGCAAAACGTTTCTTTGAATTGCAGTATACACGCTCTACTCAATTAAACATAATTTTGTCATTTCACTTTCAATTTGTTTTTCCATTGACATATATCTTTTCATATTTTACTTCCCCCTTTATAATGGTACAGGCTTACATTGACTGAGTACGTGTATATTTTCATATTTATACGAAAATTTTGCGGTCTTATAGAAGGATTTAAAAGTCGTAAATGGTTCAATGTAAAAATTAATCCCGGCTTATTCCTATCCCTCCTCCCCTCTGAGTCCATTGAGGACCATTAATTTTTATTTTATTTTCTTTAATCCCATGCCTGTCCTTGTATTCCGTGGATATGACTCATTGGATACATTTTTGATATTCCACTTCTGTTACGTCACAATGGAACTTGAGTAATATTGGTGAAGTAAAAAGAAATCAAATGAATTTCTACATAAAAAAGTAAGAAAGTTGACAATGATGCATAAAACAAGGGATTAAAAAGAAACTACCATGACCTGTCGTTGATTATTATTTTTTAGCCAACTTATTGAGTGTTCTTTTATAACCCCGCCAAGACTCGGGGATAAAATAAAGACAAATCCGTTGCATCAAAGTCACACCCAGCTACAAAACAATGGAGATCTTTCAATTAATTCTATACTGAATGATTTTTTGTTGGCTTGGGCCGAAGAAATCTCAACAAAAATCAATGTTTCTCACATCTTCCTCATTTCCATACATGTATATAGGAAGCTATGTTAATTGTCAAAGAAATCCACCAATAATCGGTGTGTCAATATTGTAAACTATGGGTCAAAGGCTAATTCAATAATGATGTGACAAAGGTGACTGAAAGATGAGGGTAGATAAAAGTTAATAAAATGGAAGATGTTAAATGATAATCATATTCAACTGTCCAAATAAAAACATCAAACTGTGAGCTGAGCAAGCCACTTAAATGTAATTGACAAAATATACTTTGACCAAATTTACATTTTCCCAGAAAAACCGAAATTTTGCAAGTGCAAGTATTTACCATGTGAAGCCTGTCAAGCTATTTTAAAGTGCAAATTCATGATTTATGAAAGCGGAATGAAGTTTGGTCTCCTCAATGAGATGTAAACCTAAAAAAAAATCCTATTTACCTCATGACGTGCCCTGCATCTGAGAAAAAAAATTACAGGACAAACAGAAACAAAGTTAACCGACCCTTTTTTGCGTGCATAGATGACAGATTAAGGACACCACCAGAGGAAATATGCTAGGTAGTGAACACTCAAATTTCTACGACAGGGGCAATTTTTCTTTTACAAAGTGAACAATTATAGAGAGCCACAGATTAATATTTCAGAAAAATTAAAACCAAAAACCAAACTGTAAAATTTTATTTATTTTAAATCATTGTTTTTGGTTCATGGATTGTCTCTATTAATGTGAATGAAAAATAGGAACTTTGTCTTAGTAGATGAATTGTAAATTTCTATGTCAACGTCAAAGGAGGATTGCGATTTTTTAAACTAATTGACAATACTAATAGAATCATTCATTACTACGAGTGTGGGATAGTGAAATTCCACCGAGGGGACAAGATTCACGGTCTAGGACGAGGCTTTGCCGAGTCCTAGACCGTGAATTTTGGCCCCGAGGAGGAATTTCATTATTCCCACACGAGTATGTAATGACTGATTATTTTTCTCGCATTATTCCCAAAATAACGGCCTGTCAATGACGTACCCATGATAGGGCTTAAGATATGAAAATAAAATTCTTTTAATTTTCCGCCTAATTAAAAATCTAAATACACCATCGGATAGAGCGTACCTGAAAATGGTTTACACATAGTGTAATGAAAAAATGAATTTCAGTCCATGAAATTAATTAGATAGATAAAAACTGGGAATAAAAAACTTATCTATCTGATACCGTACACTTTCATTCAAGAAGAACCCTCCGTGATCTAAAAATAGTGCTATTTAAAAAGTGAACATACGACAATATTTTAAATGAAAATAAGTTTATCTTTATAAATTAAATGACAACACCTTAAATATATGTAATATTTTTTAACATTGTTACAATTTCTTTATATAAAGACGGCATGTTTACGTTATCGTTCGCGGCGTAGTAATACAGAGTGTGAGACAGAAAAATCTCACACTGCTGTCTCACACCGGACAAGTCAATCATGCACTGGTGATTATACGAGAAATAATCATGTTTACTTCTGCCTACTCTAGGTTACAAGAAAGACTTAAAATAGTATTACTACAATTAGATCGTTGACGTCATTACAAAGAATAATTTAATTTCTCAATAAAATCAAATGAAATCCTAATTTGTTTTCCGCTTTCAGTGTCGTCACTGTTAATTGAACTAATAAGGCCTAATTGTACACCTCGTTTGATAATGAAACAGACCACACTGTATTTAGAGTTATCTTTGATTTTTTCCTAATTTTCGTCTTTTTTAACAGATAGTTTATCCAAAGGTAAAAACTCTACAATATTGCCAAGTTACCAATATTGTCAACCTGTTTGTGGCCAAACAACTGCAACAGATGGAAATAAAGATACATGCACAAATACTGAAGCCATTGGACCTAGTTCAAAAAGTAAAACAACATCATTCTCTGTAGATCTTGGAGGAACTCGCAGTATTTACAGCATTAGTATACTTTATAAAGAGTATACAGTATATTGTAAGATTTTCTCTTCATTTGGTTTACGCATCGCTAGTGTTTCTAAAGTTAATACATGTATCTAAATTACTGTACTTATATTTACATTTTACTTTTTGAATCAAATTACTACTTATATTTTATATTTAATAATTCATCATAATTTGCAAGGGCGATAATCTCATCGCTAACTCTTGGTTCACAAGCACGATAATAAGTTGTAATTATCAATGACAATTTTAGGTAAATAAAAAAAGAAAGGTTTCTAAAAGTATCCATAATACTGAAGTGTTAGAAATGAGAATATTTCATTGTCTGCTCATCTTTTCCATTCCATAAAATTTTCATTCCTATGTTATAATTTCAATACACCAGAAATGATGTATGTTACGCAATGTTCTGGATTCTATATGCTATTGCTACATGTATAGCATACTATCTTCAATATATTCAGCTTTATTTAATCAGGGAAAATTCTTACTTTGATAAAAAAAATCTATTGCTTAACATTTCATCATTTAAAAAGTATATAAAATAAGTTCATTTATGATGACCAACAAATAAGCAAGTTAATACATGTACGTAAAAGCCTTATGAAACACAACATTCAATTTTGGTTAACATACTTTTAGATCTATATGTAATACAAAAACGCTCTCTAGATCAGAATAATTCATGCAATAGAAAAGTGTAGAATAAAGTGTGAAATTAATTAGGTTCTTTTTAAATCCTTCTAAATTTTTTTTGTTTCTTTTTTATTTAAATATATATTTTAATTACATAATTTTACATATCTTTAGACCAGTTTCATCAAACCTGTCATTTTACATCCATATATAACAAGTAATAATGATATACTCATAGACAATCAAGAGACAAAAATACATTAAACAAAAATTACAATGCATGTATATGATGATACTATAAACTTAATCAATGTTAAAATTTCATTGTTTAGTAAAAAGGTAAAAAAATAATGAAAAAAAAAAAATTAAATGCCGTTTGTTTTATTTTTTTTAGTATTGAGACAACGAGGTCGTTTTGCTGGATTTTCTCTTTATATATCCGATACTCCCAAGAAAGAGGACGGTCATCTTTGTTACAAGAACATACTTCCATTACCTCCCTTGGAGTTTAGTACAACGTGTATTGGATATAGTCGTTACGTCATCTTTTACAATGAAAGACTGGACGGAGTTACCTACCCTGAGGGATACGAGACTCAAATATATACACAGTTATGTGAAGTCGATATAAAAGGTTTGATGGTTTGTCTCGGCATAAATTTGCATCACCTAGATAGGAAATTGACAATGTTTATGCCAATCATCAAATTTATATTTTCTATCTTGCATTCTTTTTCATTTTTATTTTTTATTTGCGCTAGCTTATTTTACATTTTATAATTTAGTAAGAAAACACACCATCATTTGCCATGTACAGTATACAAAACGTATGCCTAAGGAAGGTATGTCTAATGAAAAAGTATGCAAAAATTTTAAGCATCTGCGATGAGTAGTTGCTGAGAAAACTGCATCGGAAATATAATAAGGCCTACCGATAACCACATGGATAAACAGGAAGTTGAGATTGGATTTAAACAAGAATGGAACCGACTAAATGACACACCCTAACAATGGGTGTGCTTAAGTTTCAAGCATCTGCCATAAGTGGGTGTAGAGAAAACTTCAACGAAAATTTGTTACTGACAGACAACTAGACATACACACAGACAGACACACAAGGGTAATATTCATGCGCGGATCTAGAGGGGGGTTCGGGGGGGTCAGGACCCCCCCTGGAATTTACCAGGTTAAAAAATGTATATACTAAAACAAGAAAAAAGTTACCATGGACCCCCCCCCCCCTGGAAAGTGCTGACCCCCCCACTGGTAAACATATATGTGTGAAATGTGTATGTAAAGTGAAAGATTTGAGGTAATAGAAGTCACCACTAACCCCCCCCCCCCTTACGAAATAGGTTTTTGACGTTTGGGGAGTTTAGTCTTTTTTTTTTTTTTTTTTTTTTTTTTGCTTGTCAGCAAATTTCTGGGATTGAAATTTTTTTTGACTGGGGTGGACCCCCCCTGGAAAAAATTTCTGGATCCGCGCCTGATATTAGTTATCCAGGTTCATCCAAGGATGTATGTGGATTTACCCCATGTTTTCTTCCATACACTCTGAGGAATCATTATTTTTCTGAAGTATATAAATATTTGGAAGGCTCCTTTATTTAAAGAAATTATTTAATAAACATGTTCCGCCAAGTATTTCTGCTACCTCCTTTTAAACTTCTTAAGACAAAGAGGGAAAATCACCGAGTCGACCTCCAATATGGGAGGTAACTCTCACTAAATTCGAGCCTATCGAAAACTATCTATATAGTGACCATGTTATTTGCATTAGGCCTCAGGGTGTATGAAATAAAACCCGGGGTAAATCCCCGTGCACCCTTGATTGAACCTGGATAACGAATTTATTTCCTTTGTGCCCATAAAAATTCTTTGTAAACAACCTATCGATAAGATTTACTACGTAGTACAAGGCAACGAGACGTCATGTCATTTGCTTTTTATCATAGAAAAACTATGCATTGTGACGTCACGTTTTATTTACCTTCGGCTCAAGTCGAGTGTACGGAAATTTACACCAGACTTTGCAACCAATCAAATCTCGTGCTACAAGCTACATGTAGATATGAAATAAAATAGTACAAGTATACCCCCTCTCCTTCGGAGTTGGGATACCACAGATACAATAATGAGGTTTCTCTAAACCCACGAGACAAATATTTCCCTTTGAAAGGCGCTGTTTAAAAGCTTTGCCAAATAATATATATTAACGAATCTAAAACAATTACAGATTACTACAACACACAAAGAAACATTACTGGCCAGTTCAAACCATCTATCAAAGAGGGAAATTTTGCCCTTTCCTTATAAATGCACAATCATATGTACTTTTCCTACAGGTATTTTGTTCTCCTTTTAGTATGCTTATGTATATCTTAATGTAAATCGAATTTAAGTGTCTATATTATAATGCGCTATAGAAATTATGGTATACTAGTAATTGTATTGTACAGGAATGTTCCATCTTCCATGTTATTTATTGATTCTATTAATTTCAATATTGCGATAGTTTATATTTTGCCTGAATTTCATACGGGTTTGCTAATTTACATCATCATACCTCTGACACAAGGAAAAATAATCAGAAATTTAAAAAAATCAGGATTTATCAGAAAAATCAGTACTACTATCGATTTGGAAGGCAAAAACTCACCCAAGTCAATACGTAATATCGCGAGTACCTCGCAGTTATCTAACTTACTACCGCTCTTTTGCGAGGGAGTCGAGAAAGCTCTAGATTTTGGGGACACATGACATTGTTTACAGTAGTAACAATCAAATGATTCGATCAATGTAATGCCGAAAGAAAATGTATTGCCAAGAATTGGACTCCAAATAGAAGATTGTCAACTAAGGAAAGTTTAGAATATTTTATCAGCTTTAAAATGTGACAATTTTCAATGAAAATTTAATGAGAAAAGTCCGTTTAGTTAAAAATATCAGAAAAAAATGTAACATATTAGGATTAGCTTGTCTCAAATATCAATTACGGTGGTTCAGCAATTTTTAAGCAAGGTATTCCACCAGGATTTTTTTACATAATTATATATCTTTATAAACTATACAATGACCGATCTGGCATTGTATTCAACAGCACATTTGTCCCCACCCAACAGGCGCTTCCTACCTCCATCGCGAAAGAGTTCCGCTTAGTCGAGTAATCGCGATATCAAGTATTGAAAAGTTACTTTCGCTCAAACTAGATATTTGGATCACAATTCATCTCCCACTTGCTCAGACCATTATTTATTACATGTACCTGGTGTCACCATGAGGCTTTTAAAACTTCTTCCTGAATTGTAACCCCAACCCATATATTGAGTTTACTCTATGTTATTGGTGTTATTACACCATTCTGTTTCTAAATCCTCGACTAGTTGATTTTTGCAGTTTAATGTTTTATAATTTTGCGGGAATTTTAAAGAAATGGAATGTTGCTAAAAAGGGAAGCAATCATGATTATTATCTCGATCACGGCGCCACGTCAAACCTAAGAATTAAACATTGACAGTGACTGTTCCTTCGCCAAGCGCTCAGCATTAGAAGTGAAAGTCACTTGTCTTTCGGATATTAACCTTAAAAACATAGTTCCCATGTCACGGTAGGTGTTGGCATGATAAAGAACCCTCGCTGACCAATGGCCCTGAGTGCCGAGTCACGCCTATAGTCATGCACATGTTATATAAAAAGCATATGAAAATTAATGATTTTCCCCATCATTGTGGCGTCACAATTTAAAAATGATGTCAATATGTAAGTGACTCATGACGAAAAATGGTTGTCACAGTCTCACTCGAGCAACGAACGGCTGTAAAGTTTAACGTCGTATAACTTGGAAATTCCTTTGAAGTATCTTATAATAAATTGTACAAGGTTAATGAAGACAATAGACTTTGCAGACGTTCAATCATAAATTGGAATGATTTTTCTAATGAACGGAGGGAAATGGTTAAAAATGACATTACTTTGTAGCCCAGCGAATGCAAGCTGGGGAGGAGATGTGTCCTTTGTTAGGAATTTGTTATGAAAGATTGCGAAGTTACAGGTAGAAAAATGGTTGAAAATCTTGACAGTAATATTATTATTAATTCGCTAAATTATTTATAGTTTAATTCAAACTTTGAACATATTAAATATGATGAAAAGAAGGCCCCCATACTATATATCCATATTAGATAAACGCCATTCCTAAGACAGAGGACTCGGGTTGTGATGGTCCCCATGCTCTTTCTGGGAAAGGATATTCTTATCCAACCATGCTATTTCCGAGATTTGGACATTTCTTCTGACAAATGGACTGTTTTTGTTATAAAAATCAACTTGCATGGTAAGAAATATAAGACTCTGAAAAATACTTTAGAGTCTATGAACAGAATGTTTCAGAGTATATCACGTGACCACCTGGATCATATGATTCGAGCATAGGCAGACATGTATTAAAATGAGAGAGGGCTACTTAAAAAAATAATGAACACTGAAACCTAATTTTATTTTTTTTATGGAAGCTATTCAATTTGTTCGCGAACTTTTCGATAACCCCTTGTAAGTCTAAAGTTAAAGCCCTTTACTGGCACACGGGTACGTCTATAGTGTATGAGTGAAAAATTCTCGAATGGGACGTAAATGATATACAATCATTTTTAATGTTGATTAGCATGTATCATGTTGAGTTATACGTTTTAGAAGATATTTAAATTGAATAAAATGATCTCATGTTCCTTTTAAATGTCTAGTTTTTATGAATGGATGTTTTTTTTTCTGCAACTTTTACCTATCTTTCTAATACATGTAGGATGTTCCGATACAGGAGTTTATGGAAGTAGTTGTAATTTACCCTGTCCGAAAAATTGCAATGAACATAAATGTAACATTGTTAATGGAACTTGCTTGGGATGTATTCCTGGATGGACTGGAGATATGTGTACAGAAAGTACGTACTGCATTGTGTAGAAGAACGCACCAGTAACAATGCATTCTTTATCTGTTGCTTCAGTTTATTTCGTGATAATTGTGCCGTTCATTATAAAATCAATTAAATTCCTTTCTTCCTTAGAATGTCCATGGGGATGGTATGGCCATGCCTGCAAATCAAAGTGTATAGGACATTGCAGCGGTTACCAACCGTGTAATCACGTGACTGGTCAATGTCAAGGCGGTTGTGCAAGTGGATGGATGGGGAAATTATGTTATGAACGTAAATATTTATTGAGTTTAATCATTTGTTTTCGTTTTTAAATTGATATATTTGTTAATGAAAATTACAATGTCATAGTGGGAATGATCAAATTAAGGCACTATTAGTAGATATACACAAAATTTCTTTAATGTGTAAGTGATGATCATCAAATAAAAGTGTGTTTCTCGTCATAACTGGAACTCTTCATTACTGTAAATTTATATTTCCAATGTCTTTGTTCGAGATAAAATAACAATTAACGTTTTTTATTTCCCCATCAATTTACTGGTCGGTCGATAGACGCGGTTAGAAAAATCACGTGCAGGGTTGGACAAGCGGGGCTTCTAGCACGTGGATTGTCGGAATCAAAAGCATGTAAATATAAGCAATAACTGTCAGATTTTTCGATTTCATGACGATTGTCAATCGATTGGCTTGCGTGATAATTTTATGCATGCATAAACGCCTTTGGCGTTTATGCAAATTATCACGCAAGCCAATCGATTGATCAAATCATGAAATCGAAAAATAAGACAGTTATTCCTTAAGTTTATAATTAAATAAATACAGACACTTTGTTTTACATTTAAACAATGTCTACGAACTTATAAAATTGAATTTTTCATTGTGTTTTTGATTTTAAATGACATTAAGGACGTTTTGTCCTGTGCGTTGGAGTTGATTTTGGTCTGGACCTTGTTTTCTGAAATTCTGCATCATTTTTAAGTTTTAACATGAATCTAAATTCTACAATGTAAATTAAACTATGTCAATTTCAAAATCTACTATTAAATTCCATTCAAGTAGTATCTAGCCAGGAACTTTATTTTGTGACAAAAGGTTTTTTTTTTTACATGAAAATTATCGATTTTTCCCTTTAGACTATAAACAGTACTGCTAATTTTTAATTCCAATTTTTCCATGCTGGATGCACACAAAGCTGTTGTTTGCAATGAGATGTGTTATGCTTATTCTGAAATATCTATTAAATTTTTTTTATCATAATTCCTTTGTCAAATTATGACAAATATAGTAAACATAATTTGAAAGTCCAGTAAAAAATGAACTAATTTTAACATAAAATTGACACAATTTAGTACTATCTAAAAAATTACATAGCATAACCCTACTTTTGATCTTCTTTTCTGAATATTTTAGATATCTTTTACCTTTCTGCATAAATTCTGCAAAATTTTAAGATTTTATAATTATTTTCTTGCTTATTAAATTTTCAATGCCAGAAAAATCACATTTTGTGAGTGCAGAAAGATCAATTAATTGATTATGCGACGCAATTTGAAACTTTCTTAGTCACAATTTTAAAGTGTCTTTTTTTAGAAAGACTTGTAGTTTTGTTCCATGCTTTATTTGGATAGAAATATTGGAGCAAAAACGATTTGATTTTTGATTAAGACACAGATCTCAGTACAAAAAGGACATATTTAATGAACAGTAGCGCCAAAAGAAGCATATTGACCCCCCTATATTTTGCTTTGATTTTTAATTAAGCTATGTGTGTAGAAAGTAATAATATACTTGACAAAAAGTTCAAAACTTTAAATATCAGGAGCCAGTATCGTTAATAGCATTATTTTCAATATTTTATTTAATTTAGTGAAATAGTCCTTCGGCATATGAAGCCAATATGCATATAAAATTCCTTTTGTATCAGATTGGATGTCAGGTATTGAAACAAAATTAGAGTATTTGAAATTAATTCAAAACTACTTTGGTTTAAACAGCGAATTCTTTGATACTGAATGAAATATAGTCGTAACTACAGTTAAGTTAGTTATAATATTATCATCGACTCCATATACATGTAAAAACAATAGTGAATTTATTGTTTCCAAATTATTTATTTCTAAGGTATGCCCCGCACCCTAGGTTCTCACCCCCAGTACTGTCTGTATACAATTGAAGAATATCACTGCTTAACCAATCAACATCAAATAAATAGCATATGCCATTGAAGTGATTCAAAAAATTGAGCCACATAAGCAATCGTCTTTGATGGAGTTTGTTATGCGGATAAAACGATGCTGCCTTTGTACGCCAATCAGCGCATTGTAAAAACGGCGATTAAAAGCGCGGGAAGATCGCACTGCTTTGGTGCAAAAGTTTAATTGGCCAACGAGAGATTGCATCTCCTTCAGAGTGACTTTAGATCTAAATTTATTTGCCATTTCTGTCAGCGAAATCTTAAGTTTGATTAGTTTGTCGTTGGGAATACGGACTTGCGTCACATGTGTCAATTTCCAAACCCAGATAAGTTAATTTTGTGACGGGGCCCACAGTTTTATAGATGGCAAGAGGAATTCCAAGTGCTTTACATAACTCCCCAAATTGCATTGGCTCATGAGTCTTGAGCAAGCGTCGGATTTTGCTGAACCAGCAAACAGGAACTCGTCAAGATAGTGCGTAACATGTGGGCAAGCAGATTGTGACCTGACGGTCCATTCCAAAAAGGACGCGAATTTCTAAAATGTAGCGCATGATATAGAACAACCAAATGGCAAACATTTGTCAATGTAGTATTTACCCTCAAATTTGAAGCCAAACAAACAAAAACCATCCGGTTGAATTGGTAAAAGTCTAAATGCACTTTTTATGTCCATTTTGCCCAATAAAGAGCCTTTTCCGAGCTGATTATCATTTCGATAGCGCCATTGAATGATGAGTAGTGTACAGATGAAAGTTCTTTATCAATGAAGTCGTTGACGCTATTGTTATGTGGATATGACAGATGAGTAATTAAACGCCACCCCCGCTAGATTTTGGCACGACGCCTATTGGAGACACCCTTAGATTCGAAAGTGGTATATTGTAGAAAGGGCCGGCCATGCGACCCGTATCAAATTCACTTTGCAATATATTCTGGATTTCGTTCGGATGCTGGTTTGCCGAAATTAAATTTTTACACTCCAAGTGGGCCTAGATACTGAAGGGGAAATCCAAATTTAAACCCATTTAACAACCTGGTAGCGAAATCTATAGTTTGGGGTTTGCCCTGGGCGTGGTTGCTGATTTGGTGATTGAAAATGAAAAGGCTGCTTTTGCATAGGGAAGCGGGCTGGGTTACGAGGACAAATGGACATTGGGTAGTCGGATGCATACCTTATACAACGATGTGAGTAAATACAATAGGGTTTACAACATGCACCCTTGTAGTTAAAATCAAAACACATGCCCTTTGACGGTTCAACTGTTTTTTGGGGAATGGTAATTACAGAAGTTACGTATAACATCCAAAGTTCATTGTCGATTTGCTCCCATGCCATAGAACTATTTCTTGCCTTCTTAAGCCTAAAGTGCTCGTCGTACAATTTCCAGCCGGTGGGAGATCTATAAGAACCCAGTCTAACCGTGTGCATATATTTAAGTAAGCCAAGTGATTGATCGGGGTGAGCTTCGACGTAAATGCTAGTATATACCAGGAACGCGTCTGTCCATTTCCCGATATCGCTTATTTTGCTACTTTTCCCCTTTTGCAAGACCAGTTCCCCGTCCACTAGGTTTATCTTATTTTTCTTGTCCCTTTCTTCCGACGTTTCCAACAGGACGCCCAGATCTTAATACTCCCCATTTTGTATTTTTTCGCGTGTTTTGGAAGGGATGGTGCAACCCAAAGCATCAGTAATACTAACAATAGGCGTAGGTAAGTAGTCAGACTTACCTGTTGAGCTAACAGACTCGTTAATGTCCTCTTCCATGCTGTGAATAGTACTGTTGTCATTTTCCCCCTCTTTTTGGTGGGATTTGTGGCAGCTTTTTCTTTTCTGGTGAACTTTTTTGCGGCTGTAACCACAGTTGCGGACGACTTGCGCTTGAGCATCTCTCCAAAGAAAGTATTTAAAAGAATTTGAAAATATTCTCAAATTTAACAGCACTGAAATTAAGACGTGGATCTTTGAGGGTAGTTTATAATTGACTGTTCATTTGCTTTGCGCGTATAGTGCACGCGCATCATACCGCGTGGGGCGTTGTGATAAAAGGATTTATATCGTTTTCACTGCATAAATCCGATTATTTTAATTTATCTGAAAAAAAAATTCAAGTCGTCTGCATTTCCTTTCAGGCTTGTTTGTAGGTTAAATAAACTGTTTAAAATCTCTTCCGGGAATTCCCAGAAAATTAAAATCTACAGTAGTTTTTAACTATGCATTGTCTGCATGAAACTTCTAAGTAAAGCGACTGATTTACAATTTACAGCTTGTGTAGGTGGATTTTACGGCCCAGACTGTATCAGTTACTGCAGTGGTCACTGTCTTAATAACACCCACTGTAGCAGAGAAACTGGTCATTGTGACAACGGTTGTAGTCCGGGATATATAGAAAAGTTTTGTAGTAAACGTAAGTAAAAGTTTAATATACGTGTTTGTGTTCTGAATCGTCTGTCCCTTTTTTAAAATACCAGTTTTTTACAGCATGTACTCCTGGAATTTTTGGAAACACTTGCCAGGAAAATTGCAGCAAACACTGTAAATATAAAAAATGTGACCATATAAGCGGGACCTGTATCAACGGATGTGATGATGGCTTCGTTGGAAGACAGTGTTTTAACAGTACGAAATGAAATTATCAAAAATATTCTTAGTATAATTATATGTTTATGATCCTTTTTTCTATTTTATTAAGATAAAATGTGACTAAAGGTATAAGAAACACATTTGAAATGCTTTGTGACAACCGCTTATTATATAACGCCGTTCAACGATACAAATATCATTAAGCGTAGGAATGCAATTAATAATGCTATGAATCATTGCATTAATAGAAGAGCTCATCCGCTTAGTGGTATAATTCTCTCATACAGCGACGATTTAGCATTTAGGGATTGAAATGGTCAACAATTAATATAATGCAATAATTTATGATATTTGTATCATTAAGCGGCGTTACATTTATCATTAGCGGTTGCTACAATGCTTGCATTAAAAAATGTATTTCTTTTATCTGAATTATTTCAGCATGCGAAAAAGGATATTATGGAACAAATTGCTCGAGTATTTGCACATTGAATTGCAACTTTTCATGTCATTTTATTGACGGGTCTTGCAATGAAGGTGGGTGTTGATATATTTTTCCTCACATCTTATTGTTGCACGTGTATATATAATCAAAAATAAATTATATGGAAATGCATGACTGTATTCAATTTAAATATTGATTTATAAAGAGCCTACTTTTTCAGGAGAAATAAGACTATACATACCAGGGCATCTTTCGATTTCAGTTTTTTTTTTCATTTAACATGTAACAAGGACTTTATGAAATGCAGAGGATCTAAGCACCAGTTAATGCAAATATGCATGTACGGTGTAGTTATTACTACAATTTTTTTGAAGAGAAAATGAACTTGCTTATTGTCTGAATGAAACAGTGGTATTTTTTGTTAGACTTTAAAAAGAGTAATGTTTCATGATGTATAATTAATACAAAAAATCCTTCTTTTAGCCCAGCTTACAATTTTCCGGTAGTATAATTTCATATAAATGTAAACTATCTGCTGACTTTTTAGCTCACCTGAGCCAAAGGCTCAAGTGAGCTTTTCTGATCAAAATTTGTCCGTTGTCTGTCGTCGTTGACGTCGTCGTTGTAAACTTTTCACATTTTTATTTTTTTTTTTCAAGAACCATTGGGCCGATTTCAACCAAACTTGCTACAAAGTATCTTTGGGTAAAGGGGATTTAAATTTGTTCAAATGAAGGGCCACGAGGAGATAATTATGATTTAGAGAAAAAATTAATGGCATTTTTAAAAAATCTTCTTCTCAAGAACCACTGGGCCAGGAAAGATGAAACTTGCATGGAATCATCCTCAGGTAGTGTAGATTCAAGTTTGTTCAATTCATAGCCCCCGGGGGTAGGGCGGGGCTAAAATGGCCGATGAAATTTTTACATAGTAGTATATAGGAGAAATCTTTAAAAATCTTCTTCTCAAGAACGGCTTGGCCAGAAAAGATGAAACTCATGTGGAATCATCCTCAGGTAGTGTAGATTCAAATTTGTTCAAATCATGACCCCCGGGGGTAGGGTGGGGCCATAATGGCCGTTAAAAGTTTTACATAGGAGTATATTGAAAAAAATTTTAAAAATCTTCTTTTCAAGAACCACTGGGCCAGGAAAGATGAAACGCATGTGGAATCATCCTCAGGTAGTGCAGATTCAAATTTGTTCAAATCATGACCCCCAGGGGTAGGGTGGTGCCAAAATGGCCGATCAAAGTTTTACATAGGAATATATAGGAACAGTCTTTAAAAATCTTCTTCTCAAGAACCACTGGGCGAGGAAAAATGAAACTCATGTGAAATTATCCTCAGGTAGTATAGATTCAAGTTTATTCAAATCATGACCCCTGGAGCTAGGGTGTGCCATAATGGCCTTTAAAAGTTTTACATAGGAATATTAAGAAAAAATCCTTAAAAATCTTCTTCTCAAGAACCATTGAGACAGAAAAAATAAAACTCATGTGGAATCATCCTCAGGTAGTGTAGATTCAAGTTTGTTCAAATCATGACCCCGGGGGTAGGGTGGGGCCAAAATGGCCGATTAAAGTTTTATATAGGAATACAGTGGACCTTCAGATATCCGGACGCCAGATATCCGGATGCTTCAGTATCCGGACGATTTTTCATCGGAACGAAATTTTTAAATGTTATTTTGTCTTGTTTAACTGTTGATTCAGATATCCGGATGCTTCACATATCCGGACAAATTAACTGGGAACCAAAGCGTCCGGATAAATGAGGGTCCACTGTATATAGGAAAAATTTTTGAAAATCTTCTTCTCAAGAATCATTGAGACAGGAAAGATGACACTCTTGTGAAATCATCCTCAGGTAGTGTAGATTCAAGTTTGTTCAAATCATGACCCCCGGGCCAGGGCTAGGGTGGGGCCATAATGGTCGTTAAAAGTTTTACATAGGAGTATACAGGAAAAATCTTTAAAAATCTTCTTCTCAAGGACCACTGGGCCAGGAAAGATGAAACTAATGTGGAATCCTTCTCAGGTAGTATAGATTCAGATTTGTTCAAATCATGACCCTCGGGGCTAGGTTGAGGCCAAAATGGCCGACCAAAGTTTTAATAGGAATATATAGGGAAACCTTTTAAAATCTTCTTTATTTATACAAAATTTTATTCACATAAGTGAATGGGATTGGGCAGCAGGTAAAGCCTATTTTAGCCCTCTCCCTACAAGGTCAAAATGAACACACAATATATAGATATGAAAATAAATAGACAAACATAGTAACAAAAAAAACAAAAGAAAAAAAAAGTAGAAAGAGAGAAAAAAAAAATACAATGTAGTACATGTACCGGTCAGAAAGAGTTGGCATAAGTAACATACATGACAGTGTCAAATAAAACGTTTGGTTGCTGTGATGAAAGCATGTACTGCTTCAAATATTTGAGTATTAATACATAGTGCATGATTGGGACTAAAATCTTCTTTTCAAGTACTTCAAAGCCATGATTAGTGATATTTATATGGCATCATCCTCAGGTAGTGTAGATTCTAGTTTGTTCAAATCATGACACCCTGGGGGGTAAAAATTCAAGCCCCCCCCCCTCAATAAACTTTCAGTTCTGATCTGATATGTGCTTTTTCCTAGCTGATGTTCGCAGGTGAGCGTTGTGACCCCTTGGCATTTTGTTTAAATATGTATTAATTTTGTAATTATTATATTTATAGAAATTACAGAAGCAAATCTATTGGTATTTCTCTCTTTCAGAAGAAATAGAATCAAAAGAACTTATGGTAGTAGAGATTTCAGTTTCCGTTGGTGTAACCGTCTTAGCAGTTACTGTAATTATTGTATTCGTAAGATTTCTAAGGTACATGTAATATATAGAGTTCAAGAGGTTAACTGCAAATCATTTTAAAATATGAATAATGTGATCCGATCAGGAAGCCAAAACAATAAATGCAGTTAAAATTTACATGTATAGTATTTGCCTTTGATAAAGATTTAGAGTAAATGAAAAGAACGACCACAGCCGATTTTGATGTCATATTAAATTTCAACTCGTTGCTTTTAATTCAAATGGCAATCCTAGTATGTTTAAAAAACATTTAAAATAACATCCCAGATATTGCTATTCTGTAAATGTTTATATAATCTGATTGTAGAAGGAAGAATTCCTCCAAAGAAAAACAAAGTGGTGATGTTTATTCTGGCAGAAAGTTTTACGAGGATCTGAATGACCTTAAACAACAAAATCAATATCAGGAAATACATGTGGATGCCCCAACTACATACGAAAACCTGTCTTTGAAGACCATGTAGAACTGTAGAACTGGAATATTGTTTGAATATTTGAATTCTGAACATTCTAATGGAGACCCACTAGGCAGTTAACTTTACTTAAACTTCAAACTCATACTAATGCCAACAATATTAATTGTCATCAACGTAGTTTGTTTTTGCCTTATATCATATATGCAGACTTCAAAAAAATTCTAAAACGACAGGATATGTTGAATTTAACAACAGTTGTTTCAAAGAACAGCTAAGACATACCATGGATATTTTTTTTACATTAAAAATAAAAATGTACTTTTTAGAAATTAAAATATTATCAAATCAGATTGATGTTGTTACCTTTTGCAGCTGAACACAATATTAATTAAATAAAGTTGATGATGAATGTCGGTATTTAAAGCTAAGCGGGGCTGTTTCACGTCCTCCCTTCGGAATTTAAAAAAAACGTGATTTTTGTCCTAATTAAAGCAAGAAAATAGAAACATATGTTTTTATTAAAGTTAATCAATATATGTTAAGAACAAATTTTTAATTTAAAAACGACTTTTTCCAATTATGCAGTGAGAGTTCAAATTGTCTGCATTCCATACAAAGGAAAGCAAACAAATTTCCCCTGTGGTATTAAATGGAACAGCGTAATCGATGTATTGTGACCTTATTCATTTCTCTACAGAGAAAAAGACCAGCCGTATTTTGGAAAAATTACAGAAATAGAAATAAAGTCCTTGTTTGTCGTGAATGATTAAGGATAACCTCCTCGGTCGCGAAATGTTGTTTGAAATATAAAAGCCTTGGCTAACGCCTCGGCTTTTATCTTTCAAATAACATTTCGCGACCTCAGAGATTATCCTGCAACATTCACGAAAACGCAGACCTTATTTCTTAAGTAAAAGAAAAGTAAATTAACTTTTAAAAAATGTATATTTTCATTATTTAATCAATTTTTAGTCTTGTTGACAAGGGCAATGACTCATTCTCAAGTATCTTCATTCAGACATTTTTCTTTTTTGTATATCTAACGTGTCTAATATAGAATAATTTCCCTGATATTCACTGTTCATAAAATTTCTTATAAGTAGCAAGT